TTATTTTAATTACAAGAAAACTTTCCTAAAAAATCATCCCAAGGCTACTGGTATTTACTATGGTTATTGACTAGTGGTTTATACAAAATTATAAATAGGAATATATAAAATAAGTTCATAGAAACAGCTATGTTATTTTGGTGCCCTTGTCCCATAACCAGGAAAAGGTGCTCACTGTCCTGAAGAGAGGACTTAAGAAGCATAACCTGTGGGCGTGTAATCCTCACAGAATGGAAGACCGTGACCTCAGAAGACAGAACACCTCCCACACTGTGACTGACTTCATCCTCTTAGGCTTCCCCTGTCCCAGGGAAATGCAGATCTTCCTTTTCTCCATATTCTTTGTGACTTACATCTTGACTCTGCTTAGAAACATGGCTATTGTGTGCACAGTGCACTGGGATCACCGGCTCCACACTCCCATGTACATTCTATTGGCCAACTTCTCCTTCCTTGAGATATGCTACATCAACTCCGATGTGCCCAACATGCTGGTCAACTTCCTCTCCAGGACCAAAGCCATCTCCTTCGCTCGATGCCTCCTCCAGTTGTGCTTCTTCTTCTCTCTGGGCACCACTGAATGCTTATTTCTCTCCATCATGGCCTATGACAGGTTCCTGGCAATCTGCCGGCCACTGCACTATCCCACTGTCATGACCACTAAATTCTGTAGCAGCCTGGTCATCTTTTGCTGGGTCTATGGGTTTCTCTGGTTTCTGGTCCCAGTGATACTCATCACTCAACTACCATTTTGTGGCCCAAATGTGATTGATGACTTTCTATGTGACCTCGGCCCCTTGCTGGCTCTGGCATCAGCCTGTGTCCCAGTCCCAGGCACTGTTCTCATTTGTGGCACCATGAGCTCCCTCCTCATCTTTGCCACATTTTTCTATATTATTGGCTCATACACCCTAGTGCTGAGAGCCGTGGTGCAGGTTCCCTCTGCTGCTGGCCGAAAGAAGGCCTTCTCTACTTGTTCATCACATCTGGCTGTTGTATTTCTGTTCTATGGCTCAGTCATGATGACATATGTAAGCCCTGGGTCAGGACAAGCAAAGGGCATGCAGAAGTTCACAACTTTATTCTACTCAGTTTTGACTCCTTTCTTCAACCCCGTGATCTACAGCCTCCGCAATAAAGACATGAAGGATGCCCTGAAAAAAGTTCTAGGAGGTTCCTAAACTTAGTTTTTGATGCTAGTGAATTATTTGCAACGAGCTTAGAGTCCCAAGCATGTTCAACCTGTGACCACAGGTTGCATGCATTACAGGGCAGCAGTAAATGTGGTCCAGAACATTTGTAGACTGAAATGTGGTGCGACAATGTCAGCAGCTGGAGCCACTTGTCAGTAACAAGCTGAGACGCCAGCAAGCAGATGTGAACTTTTCAAAGGTGGCAAGTCAAAACTGTGAGTGCCATGCCTTCGTGCAGACGTCCCCCAACCAGAATTCACTGTCTCATTTGTAGTATGTTGCTTGTAACATGCTTTTCATTAGATTAGATGTTATTATTCTTACTGTCAAAATAATATACAAAGAAGCTATACAGAGCTGTATGTATAGCTTAGTGGTAGAGCACGCACCTAGCATGTGTGCTGCCCCTGGATCTAATCCCCATTAAAATATAGTCAATCCAATGGGAAAGCTTCACCAGATGAAAATTAATGTTCAAGAAATTACCTCATTTCATGCATTTACCAATTCCATTGTCTAGTAATATAATAATAAATAAATACCTCATTTTCTTCTTACTAACTGTACTCCTGTACATTTTTAAATACAGCATACAGCTCTTACTACTGAAAGTGTGGTCTTTGAATCCTACATGGCATCACTGGAGAGATTTTTAGGAAGCAATAATTGAGGATTCCCTCTCAACTGTATTGAATCAGAATCTGCGTTTTTGTGGCACCCTCAGGACATGAGATTAAAGGCTTTTTACCTGAGTGCTTCTGAGAGTCATGTTAATGAGAGGTAGAACATCCTATTGACAGCAACCTGTATCAGAGCAGTGATTCTCCACAGGGTGACTCAGAATTGAGGTAGGACCTAACATAGACATTCTGAAAAGATCCCCCAGAGGGGCTCCCAAGGCCCACCCTTAGCTGAGGATCTTTGACAGTTGGAGGCTACTGGGGTAGGGACACTCAGTTTTCTTCAATGAAATGGCCACTAGTGATTGCCGACCCTCCAGTAGATGACCCTGTACTCATCCACACAAACTGCATGGGACAGCACTGATCTGACTCAGTGCGTGTAGCCCAGAAAGCACTTATTCCCCTGAGAAGCCTGAGCTACAGGCGAGCCCAGGTCACCCTGGGAAGAAGGGCCCAGTCCACTGAGGAAAGTCAGCTGAGGAGACAGGAGTTTGAAACGGAAAAAGGAAGGGTGTGTGGCTACAATGACGGGAGCGTCCTGCAAGTGTGAAAGTGGAGATGGGGCATTTACAGACCTGGGCTGAGGCCTCGGGGTGAAAGCTAATGAAGACTGTGGGCAGGGTGCAGAAGCAGCTGTGGTTTCCTTGTAAGTCGCCCCTTACTCCCTACCATAAAGGAAACCTAAACTAAAAATGCCTTATGATAGTCTGTGAGCCTTGGGGCCTTGGCGGGGGAGCTCCAGCTGAGCCTCCCAAGAAGGGAAAAGGGAAGAAAACTTAGTGCCACAGTGGGTTATGAAGTTGAGAGAGGGGTGTGACAGGGTGGTGTCTTGGAGGAGTTGGAGAGTGAGGATTGATATGATCAAAATATAATGTATATAATTATGTATGAAATTTTCAAAGAGAAAAAATAAGAAATAAAAATTCACCCAGAAGTTTGTAACAAAGAGGACTGCAAACTAATGAATGCATTAGAAATTAGAAAACTAAACTCTATAGTGTCACTGGGATATATATTATAAAAAATACCCTGGTGCAAATCAGTCAAAAGAATAAGTACTGAATTCCACTGTGACATATTGTAAACCATTTCTTCTTCTACATCTAGTTATCCAGTTTGACCAGCACCTGCTAGCGGCATCTCCATCTCTGAGTTCAAATTATACTACAGAGCTTTAGTAATTAAAACAGTATGGGACTAGCACAAATACAGAAACGTTGATAAAACAAATAGAATTGATGACCCAGGTTTGTCCACACATTTTTTTAGAAAGGGGTCAAAGACACATATTGAGGAAAACGAGAAAGCATGCTCAATAAATGGTGCTGGCCAAACTAGATAACTAAATGTAGAAGAAGGAAAAAAGTCCACATCTCTCACCCTGCACAAACTCACAGCAGTGTGACTGCATGCATAAGACCTATTGTTGCATAGGACTGTCCTCCTTCAGACGCACCATAGACACCATCTTCCCAAGCTTGGTTGTGGCCACTTGCCTAGGATCATCACAGCTAAGCTTGTTGACTGTCACACTCTTCAAGAAAAGAGGGGCAGGGAGAGTCACAAGACCCTCCCAACCAACCAGTCAATCCTAGTTGCACAAAGATGAGGAGCTGAGTGTATACAAGCTGAGAAAGCATAGGGGAGGCTCTTCTACCCTTTGCGTGGCAGTAGGGAAGCTACCATCTACACTTGGATGAACAACTTCCAGTGAGGCCTTAGGAGGTGCTCCTTTGGGGGAGCACCCACACTCTTGTAAGTAAACCCTCACCCATTGCTCTATAAGTTAGCTCAATAAACTCACTGGTTTCCCAGGCTGCACTTCGGCAAAATCATACTTCAGCTTGGTTGTTGGGACCAAAGGAAGAGGAGTCGGAAGTTGTGCACTCTTCCCAGAAAGAATTTTAGCTACACCTATGGAAGCTCAAGCCAGGGGGTAAACAGCTAAGTGAAGAAGTGATAGCTGCTGAGAGAGGGGGCCCTGGGTATCTTTGAGGGTGTGAAGCCAGGTAAATTGATCAGGCTCCAGGGATGGACCCACACCCAAGAGCACTTGGGGATGCAAATTAGACTGTATGACCTTAAAAGAATAATAGTAGAAGACACGAAGTTGGGGGGACGGGGTGAGGTGGGGATGGAGATGGAAGAGGGGCCTGAATATGACCAAAATACTTTGTATAAAACCTCAGAAACTCAATAAAATATTTTTAAATAAATTCATGTCATAAAACTATTAGAGGAAAACAAGACATTGATGTAAGTAATTATTTTTTTGGATGTGGCCCTAAAAATACAGTAAACAAAATTGAAAATTTACGAATGGAATTGCATCAATTTAAAAACCATCTCTATTAGCAAAGGAAATAATCAATATAATGATAAGAAAGCATATGGAATGAGAGGGAATGTTCCCCAACTAGTCATCTGGGAAAGGATTAATATCCAGGGCTTATATTAAAAAGAAAAAAGGAAAATAGGAAATTTTATTTTAAATGAGCAAAATGACCTGAATACATGTCTCTCAAAAGAAAAAACATAAATAGGAAGAAAATAATAATAATATGCTTAATATAATTTGCCACCAATTACATGATGTGAGAATGTCCTTTATGTAACTTAAATTTTAATTTTTTGTTTGGAGTTTCATACATGAATACTGCATTTACATCATTTCTACTCCTCCCTCTCCCCACTAACTTGTTCCACATACCCCCTCAATTTCATGACCTCTTCTTTAATCATTGTTATGTATACATATACATGTATGTCCTAATGAGTTCATTTAGTATTGCCCATATGTATATATATTTATGGCTTATCCTGTGGGATTGGATAACCTCTCAGGGAGCTTGTCCCTGGAGAAAACTGGTTTTCCCTCTCTTAGCAAAAATTGGTTGCCTGTAGTTCTTCATATAGGTAGGCATTGTGAAATTTCCCCCATCCATGTTGGCATGTCAACTGGTATCATTATACAGATCTTTAGGCAACTGTGGGAATGACTTTCCTAGGAATGCCTCCTGTTTTACCTAACCCTTTAACTAAAGTGTATCTTTTTCTTCTTTTTTTGACCTTTTTGTACATTTCACATAATAGATCTTAACCAGATTTAGACCCCTCTCCTCACCCGCTATAACGCCTATTGGATTTCATACATTCTGTAATATATATTAAGTCCTATCTAGTCAAGCATTTGTACCCAGATGTCTCTCAACACAAGTTTATCCACTGGAGTGTAGTCAACCTATCTAGAGACATTTCCTTAAAGAAGATCTACTTTCCCTCACCCCACAGTAATCAGTTGTCAATAGTTCTTGGCTAGGATTGGGGCCTCCAGTTCTATGCCAAGTTTTTGTCTGATGAAGTTAGCATGGGTCTTGTGAATACTATCACCATTGTTGCAGGTCATATAAGCAAGATCCAAGAGGCCTGAAAGCCTCTGTTTCTTCATGTTCATGCACTAACCCCGTTCTTACAATCTTTCTGCCCCCTCTTCCACAATGATCCCTGAGCCCTGAGTGGGTGAAGTTTAATATAGGAGTCCTATCTAGGAACATGCACTCGCCAGTCTATTACATCATTAATGATATCTTGCTGGGCCCAGCTTTGTTGTGGTTATAGGCTTTATAGCTGGGTATTTTTTACTTTTTTCTCTTGGCAGCTTGCATAGAATCTCTGACTGCTATGAGAACAGTCTTCAGGGAGAATTCCAGGTCAGTTCGAGCTCTATTCTTCCAAGCTTGGTGTCCAAGGTATTTGTTGCTTTCGACAATAGTCTTATCTTTAAGTTCTGGGAGGCAGCCAAGAGCAATGGCTGTAGCTTATATTGTTATGGGAGTCTCTTTGACTATATAAAGGGAGGTTTCCCATGCCTGACACTGTGGTTTTTGTTGATAGTCTGATTCTTGGAAGGAGCATTATCACCCTGTGTGGTGCAGCTCCATTTAAAATACATATACATATACACGTACATATATATATTGTATATGCCTTAAGTATGCTAATAAAATTATGTTTCCCTGTGGCTTTCTCAAATATCTTTAATATTTATCTCTCCATCCTCACTCTCTCTCTGTATTACCCTGTCTCTTCTCTCTCCAGTTAAAACCCCTCAGATTTCCCACTACCCTATTAACAGTACCTGTGACCTACTATCCCATTCTCTAGAGCTCCTTATGCCTGCCTCTTCCATAGTCACTTTCTACTTTCCTGGCTTCTGCAGTTATTTCAAGATACAAATTCACATATAAAGATTTGGAGCTAGGATCTGTTAGATAAATCAGGAAGGAAGTGCCCAAATACACAGAAGGACTCTGGCAAACTAAGGTTTATTGAAATTGGAAAGTTGTGGGGGTAGTCCTCAACTTGAGGGTGAGAAATGGCTACCGACCTGCAGGCTGCTGGCTGGAGGCTTTTTATAGGGGGTTAGGGAAGGTAGAAGGTGGGAAAAAAGAATTCAAACATTTTTGGGAAGCAGAAGTCTATACATTGTGAAACTTAGGGGGAAGGAGCTTGTACTGAAACAGCTCTTGCAGCAATCAGGCCTTGGGTCATGAATGCAGGGGCCTGTTTATCTTCTAAACTTATCATAGGGAAATAGCCTATGTTGAAACTGCCACTTCGTGGCCAGTGCAGCTGCTGGCTCAATTCCTGTTTTCAAGGGGCCCCTGGGGCCTGTCTTGTGAGATTTTGCTGCACCAGGGGAGGGTCGCTGCAAACCTGGATTCTAACAAGATCCACACATAACAGAGAATATGTGGTGTTTGCCTTCATGAGTCTCGGTTATCTCACTCATATGATGCTTTCCAGTTCCAGCCATTTATGTGCAAAATATATCATCTCATTTTTCTTTATAACTCGAGGTGAGGGTGGGACCAGGCCCAGAGGGCTCCTGGAGACCTCGAGAAGGAACTGGGTCCATCTGGATGAGAGGGATCAAGAAGCAGTCGGTGGCTCCGGGCTGAGAAGTCAGCCCAGGCATCCAGGAAACAGGCTGGCGGGCCCTGCAGTCCAGGGAAGCAGAGGGAGGTGAGGGCATGACCAGGTCCAGAGGGCTCCTGGGGACCTCAAGAAGAAACTGGGTTGGTCTGGATGCAAAGGATCAGGAAGCAGTAGTGGTTCCCCTCTGTCTGGGGTGCCAAGACAAGAAATGGGACAGGACCCAGGCTAGGGGGAGAGACAGGCAGGGGACATGGGAGGGTGAATGAGGCTGGGGTAATCAAGGCACGGAACACATATAAATTTTTTAAAGTGTATCCCAAACGTGTTTAGCTTGTAATGTCTGTCATGTGTGAGAACGTGTAAGTTTATTCATTAAAGTCCATCTTGTTCCATCGAAGATCTAAAGTACAAAACTGAAAACAACACAAAAAAGTAAATATGTATTTTTTTTTTAATGCCATGAGTACTGAAAAGCTTAACCTAATGTTAGGACAAAAGTTCAGGTCACACCCACTGTGTCTCTCGGGACAAGAACACAAGCACTTGCCTGGACTATAAGACCTCAGGAAGAGCAGGAAAAACGTCTAGCCTCCCTTCTGCTGCCC